CTGGGTGTCTCATCCGACATCATGTGATCCCAAGAAGAGGCCGCATGCACATCGAGCACCTCCCGAAGGATTGCCCAGTGCCACTCGAACACCTTGACAAGGTCAAAGTCACCATGGTTCATCAAGCCAATGGCAAAAGCCGCCTCTACACAGATGACGGCACCGACACCTCAGCCCCGGCAGATACCAAGGATGCTTGGACAGGCCCCACAGTCTTCCAAATTGATGGCACTACTCGCAAGGAGATGGCCATGTACTCTGGTCACCATGAGGCCTACACCAATGCCAAGCAAGAAGCAAAGAACCAGAAGTTGGCCCGCACAAAGAAGTTCAAGAAGGACAAGAATGGGGTGAATGAACGCCTACTTGGACCTGACGAACGAGCACTCTTCAAGGAGGCAAAGGTCAAAGAACTGAAGTCCTTTTTCGACCATGGTGTATGGACCTTCCAGCACAAGGACTTAGCGGATCCTGCAAGAACCTTGACCTCCAGGATGATTTTGAAGTGGTCCAAACACCCCGACGGCAGTCCACGGGCCAAAGCTCGCTTGATCGTGCGAGGATACAACGACCCCGATGCACTTGAGGGTACTGTGGCCACATCCAGTCCTACAACAACACGTTTGAGCCGTAGCATGGTTTTGTCCCTAGCCGCCAACATGAAATGGAACACTTGGACGGCCGACGTGTCCACGGCTTTTCTACAAGGCCGACCACAGACTCGCAAACTGTGGGTCAAGCTTCCCGCCGAATGCACCCAACTCCTTGGTGCTGATGAAGATTCAAGAATGCTACTGCTCAAACCCTGCTACGGGCAGATCGACGCCCCAAGAGGATGGTTCCTTGAAGCAGTGGACAGACTTCTTCGTGCTGGTCTACGCCAACATCCACTGGACCCCTGCTGCTTCCTCATCTATGAGACCGACAGCAAAACCTATGATGAGGAAGATGAGGTACACCAACAGGTGAGCAGCCTTGGACCTGAACGTTTGGTCGGAATGGTGATCATGCACGTTGATGATATGTTGGGCAGCGGCTGCACCTTGTCTCCTCGCTACCAGGAGGTCATCAAGGACCTAAAGAACAACTTCTCCTTCCGAGAGTGGAAGGAAGACCTGGAGACTCTTGAGTACTGTGGCTGCGAGCTGCAGTCCACACCAGAAGGAGGCCGGAAGCTGCATCAGGGCAACTACATGTCCAAGATCTCGCCCATCACCTTCGACAAGAAGAGAGCCATGTCAGCGTCACTGCATGAAAGAGAAATCACACAAGTTCGTGGCCTACTTGGTTCCTTGCAATGGCCCGCAGTTCAGAGTTCACCACATTTGCAGTGCTCCACGTCCATGCTCTCAGGCCAAATCACCAAGGCCACCGTGCAGACCTTGCATGAATGCAACCAGCTCCTGCGCTTCAGTAAGGACAACAAAGACGTTGGTTTGTTGTACAACCACATTGGTCACCCTTCGGAGTTGCAACTGGTAACTTTCTTTGATGCTGGTTTTGCAAGCCGCACGGACGGCAATTCTCAGGGTGGCTACATCTCCATGCTGATGAACAAGAAGCTGGTCAATTCTCCAGAAGAAGGGGAGTACCACATCGTGGATTGGCGGAGTTTTCGAACGCCAAGGGTGGCTCGCAGCTCTTTGGCTGCTGAGGCACAATCAGGTGGGCAAGCTGCCGATGCGGTCGACTTCACCTGCCGCTACTGGGAGTATTTGATGGATCCCAAGATCACGTTGAAGAACCTCATCCAAATGCCCTCCAGCCTCAAGCCCATCCTGGTGACTGACGCCAAAGCTTTGTACGACTCCTTTCACAGAGAAGGCCTCAATTCCTCCGTGGTCGACAAGCGTGTTAGCTTGGAAATCCGCGTGATGAAGGAACGCACCGAGCTCAATGGCAGTCTTCGCTGGATGTCTTCAGAAAGACAAATTGCAGATGGTCTGACAAAGACCAGTACTCGTGTCCTCCTTTCCGCCCGACTACGTCATGGAAGATTGAAGATGACCTGGGATCCAACATACCAGGCAGCAAAGCGGAAAACAAAAGGTCAACGTGCCGCTGCAATAGCAGAAAGCACTCCAGAGGCCCACAAGCAAAAGAATGTGAACACCTATGAGGATGAGCACCTCCAGGCTACCGAGGACATGCCTGACCCCTTTGAAGCCCATGAGAACTTGCACATGTTACCGAATGAGCACCACTCAAAGAATGAACACGCCACACAGTATGCATTTGTGGCCAAGTATGTCAAGCCCCTTGAGTATGTGCTTCTCTCAAGCCATGTCGCAAGCCGCAAGGACTATGACTTCCACAGTCGCATGAAGTATGTCTTGCTGCTGCTGGCGCTGATGGCGCCGACTTTGACCGCTGCCCAGGACACCTGTGCAGGGCAGCCGAATCGAGAAGAAGATCAAGTTCTTTGGTTCTGGATTCTCAGCTGCTTGGTTTTGCAGCTGATTGCCATGGCTGGAGTTTTTCTTCTTGGCCGCTACCTTGGCGGCAAGAGCGCTGAGCCTGTCATCAAGTATGACATTGGCATCCAAAAGAATGAGCCCATCGTGAGTCAGAGGCTTCGAGAACAAGTTCGTGAGTTGAGAGATGAGCTACGCATCTCCAAGTTCGAAGCCAACAACAGCCTCGAAGCAGCCCGAGAGGCAAGGGTTGCACAGGCACGCTCTCAGGAAGAGGTCTACGCCTTGAGTGACCTCGCCCTCAATGCCCAGTCCCTCATTCACGCACTGGAGCGCGAGATGGATGACCATGCTGAAAAGTGTCCCTTCAACCACGAGATCTACCTGTCCAAGAAGGGCATCTGCTGGCATCACCATGATTGCCACATCACGGAGCAGCTGTGCGAAGCCAACCGACTGGTGCTGAAGGGCTGCTGCTACTGTGCAGCCGGAGGAACCCCTCCGGACCGCATGGTCTACCCGAGAGGGTGGTGCCTGAGGCACGACATCCAATCGTGGCAGATGAGCTACGATTCGTTTTCCAGCGGGTTGAGATGAACCATTCCTCCCCGTGTGAATCGCTCGCTGAGCGATCATGTTTGATCACTTTTGAACCAACTCGTACCGCCCTTAGCTGGGTGGGCTCAAAGCTTGAGGAAAACCGGCGCGTGTTTGCGGTTCACTCCGCATCGACTTCGTTTTGCACTTGGTTCGGGACTTCGTTTGCCTGGACGCTGTTTCCACAAAGCTACATATCTCATTTGCAGTATAGCTAGCTTCAGTTTCTTCATGATGACTGCTTGAGGCAAAGCAGGCAGAGCAGGAGCAGCCAGGCTTCCTGCAGTCTGTGTTGTTTTTGCCCGTGAAGAGATGTCGATTAGTCTTAGATGGTTGAGCCAGCCTAGCATCCTTTTAGGATGGCTTGAGGATCGCGCATATTTGGTCGGTAGATAAGTTGCGAGGAGAACGCCAAAGTATGTTTGCCAATACTTCATCGTCCAAGACTTCGATTTAGATTGCAACACGATTTGCAGATATATGTGCTCTAAATATTTGCAATGTTCGAATGATTTTTTTACCATTTTGAAAGTGGCACACCTACACCCTACACTGCTATCTCCTGTTTGGTTTGTCTTTGCTCATGTCGATCACCATCGATCCGAGCGCCTCCTCCGCCTCATTCGCGCAGCATCGTGATCACGGCAAGCATAGCGGCGGTGTGCCTTGCAAGAGTACTGTAGCTATTTTCGAGTGCAGAACACAATTTGCACTGGAGGAGCATCTGAACGTAGATGCTGTCTGCATACATTGAGCCTAGATGAGGGGTTCATTTGTTGATCAACTCATGATATGGCCAAGTAGCTGCTCGTATTCATGTTTGGGCTTGCCACATCACTTCAGGCTCTCTCGCACACCCCTTTCTCAAGGGCTGCTTAGCGGCTGCTTCATCGTGTCAGACCGATCATATCCGATCAATACTTGTCTTTTAGTGTGAATATCTTGCCTTTTACTGTTTGTCTTGCTGGCATGCTTTGTGTCTTGACCGCGTTTCTTGCCTGGCCTTTCCACATGGTGAGTTTAGACTCGCATGACCACAGTACAATAGATTGCCTGTTGGACGAATCCCAGAAGGCGCTTGCCATCGAACTATGTTAAGTGTTTGGCCAATGATCTCAACTTTTCGGTTCCTGAGGCCTGTCAACAAATATGCAAAAGCGGCTGGTCCTCCAACCAAGTACTGTAGCAGTAGCATATTGCATTTGCAAACTGCTAAAGCACCCCGTCCACGTTTGCAATACTGCAGTCAATTGAATCGGCTGTTGCAAGCTGCAGGGGATTGCCTAAAATGCGCCATCCAAGCGGTAATCGGAGCAACACAAATGGGGCAGTTTGGTTCCTGCAACCAATCACCTAAAGGCTTTCCAACTGTGCATATCTATATAGATACTTGTAGTTTCGCCTAGCAGCTGTTCATCGTCACACAGCATCACGATACTTTGACTTGGCCCCTTGGACTGAAACGTTCGCAGATTTTGTAAAATTGCAGACCATTAGCAGACAGCATTGCTCATGCTCCGCGGGAAGCAACGTACGTACAACTCAGACCACAGATAATTGCATCTAACTGGTTACTGACGAGTTAGATGCAAAACAGCAAACATGAAAAAAGCCACCATCACCACCCAGTATTTGGGCTGTTCTTTAAAGCGATGTGGTACCATGTGGTGTGGACGTCTATAAAACGGCTTCTTCGAGAATCGAATACACCAAACGGCAGGTCATGGACGGTGCTTAATCAATTTAGTCAATTTATTCGTACGTCTTAATCATATGGTAGTTGCATGTTGTTGCATCTAACAAAGGACCGACCTTTCTTGTTGTTTCCTTGGAGCTTGCCGGATGAGTGTTCCCAAACGAATTGGCAGAACCATACACACAAATTATATCAAATTATATAGGCTTAACATTTAGCACTCGGCACCTTCGGGATATTGTCAGGTTCAACTGTTCAACAGGTTCACCTTGCTGATCTATGTGTAGATGGTGCTAGCAGTTCAAAACAAGCCAAACAGACCTGATAAAGTCGACTCTTTTTTGTATCTAGCCAGCGCTGCCGCGTTTCGTACCAGGTGTCGGGCCAGGCCAGAGCGATGCCAAGGGAACGCGTGCAGAGGGCAGTGCGGCGACTTGGCGGTTAAATATTATATATTATGTATATATATAATATAATATATATATATGCAGGACGCACGGCGGACACACCCTTTTCCACTGAACTAAGGGGGAGGCTTGTGCCATAGGTACCAATCGGAGAGTACTAGGGACACACAATCTATACAACTTGCATGCCCGTGTCAGTTCCGCTCTAAGGAACTGAGTGTGAGTTGAGAGACAGGAGTTGAGCGATTTTTGCTCGTACTTCACTTCCCATCAATCAAACACATCTTTTCCTTGCTGTTGGCGTTTGCGTCCAGAAAACATGAGCTCATCATGAACAATCTTCCATCGTTGACCTAACTGGACAAATCGGCACATTTGTATATCCTCACCTCGCTTAGTAATGCTGTTGGCAAGCATGGCCTGTGAGTTAACCCACCTAACTCTCAAACCAGTCTCCTGTTGGGATTCCTTCAGAGTGATCAGTTCCAAGTCGATGCGTTTTTGGGCTCCCTTGGGTGTGATATACGGCTTGTCAACACGATCAAACACATTGCGGCTATCCGTAATCAGGGTTCCACACGTGCGAGACACATGCTCATAAATATTATGGCTGTCCGAATCATACCCCATGATTTCCGACCATTGATACCGAACCAAGAACAAAGTGTCTTCGGCGTCGATCGCGGCTCGCGCTTCAGCTGACCCTGGGGACCGACACACACGTTCGATTTTGCCGCTCTGCCAGAAGATAGGCGACACTCGATCGACCTCTCCTAACCCCAACTTTTTTCCCGACATCCCAATGAAAATTCCCTTCGTGCTGCTACCATCATGTCTGTTTTGAGAACTCGCATCAACCCAACAATAGAACTGAGGTTCTTCTTGGGGCTCAAATGGGAATATGTGCATGGGATCTTTCGCTGCCAACCGCATCTTGCACAAAAGACCATTGACATCAAGGAGCGTCTGTACAGTGCTGGTGTTCACCTCGGACAAAAACAGACTTGTGTATGCGACAAATCTGTATCCAACTTGGTTAGCATGCCAGCTCAGTGCTCCAAGCAGACCTCGTAATTCGGTCTTCTCTTCAGGAGTTGTCTCCTCTTTAACTTGTTTCTTTCTTTCTCGGGCGATTCGAATTTCTTGAACATCGCCCAAGTACTTGGTTTGTTCTAGAGAAAATCCACCGGATGGTGTGCTTTGCACATGAACTCCACACTGGACAAAATCATTGCATTCCCACTCCTGCCACTTAAATTTTTGTTGTATGGCTTCCTGGAGTGCTGTCCATTCAGGAGATTCAATTCCGGTGAAGAGGAAGTCGTCAACATGTCCCGAAATGAGAGCTAGTGTTTCACCTGCCCTCTTATATCGCCACATACAAGGGTCGCTTTTGAGCTGCGAAAAACCCAGGCTCTTGAGAAACTGGTTCATGGTTTCAAACCACTCTATGGGGGCCTCAACTAAACCATAGCAAGCCTTGCGCATTTTCACCACACTTTGTGGTGCTAGGTTCATGGCTTCGCAGATCTCGACCGTCGGAATGAGGTACAAGTCCCGGTTGAACTCTCGGCCCTGTAGGAATGCTGCAGCGACATCTCCCTTCTTGACTTGACAGCCATGGTTTGATGCCCATTGGATAAGCATCTGTCTGCTATGTCGGGTCATAGTCGGTGCAAAGGTCGGTCTGTGCTGGTATTCAGGGTCCATGTAACCCAGGACAACTGCTCTCGCCTTCGGCTTGGAACTACCATCTTCGGAATGCTTCCAGGTAAGTACCCATCGCATTCTCAATGCCTGGTGCCTTGCCGGTTGTAGATGTTCCGGCAAAGCCTGAAGTGCTTCTGCCGCTATGAACTTGTCCACCTCTACCTTTTTGGCACCAGCGAACTGCTCGTGTTCCAGGGCTGACAAATGACGTTCCGACACTTCCACTGAACGTCGCTTCAAAGCACTCGCGAAGTATGCCACTGGATTGTTCATGAAGCGCCTCAACTTCCGTTGGTCTGTGGGCAGTTCAAGAGTCAGTTCCACCGCAGCATGTGGGTTGTCCCAAGTGGTCCGCGTGTCCGTGGTTAGCCACGCTGACTCGGGCACCAGTTCTTGCCACGAGGGTCCTGTGAATAGAGCTGCGTCTTCACTGCGACTTGGCTTTGGACTTCTGCTCCGGTCTTGTTGACGTGACTGTTGTTGCTTGCCCGTGACTCGTCTTCGGTTTGTAGGGTGTTCTGTGTCATCCAACTCCTCCGGCTCCACCAGGGATCGTTTGTTCTCTGAGGGTCCAGGACCAGTATGGTCTTGAAAGGAGGCTTTGTGAAGGTCTCCGGCTAGGCTGTTGAAGGTCCACGGTAGTTGTGGTGGTCTGGTGAGTTCGTGTAAGCATGTCTCCCGCATGGAGGCGGGCCTCAGTTGTTCTTGAGCTACTTTCACGAGTCGATTGCCCCGCACCAGCCATACCACACTGCTTGCACGCAGTTGACCGTGTTCTTGTCGGGTCTCAACTGCCAGGACTCTCGCTGGACCCACATAGTTGCCTCGATTCCAGGAGTTTTGCCTTTCGGCGTTCCCCAGCTGTGTTCGCCAGTAGAATACCAAATCCCCTGGAAAGAAGTCTTTGCGAGGATGATGTTTCGAGTTGCGGGCTCTGGTGAGCTTCTCCTGCACTTGCCAATCAATGAATGCTTTAGATGCCTGTTGTCGCAACTGGGAGGCAACTTCCATCTCACCATCTGGAGACTGCATCATCTCCATTGGCAGGTCAGTGGTTCGTCGATCAAATACTCGACCTTCGATGTCTGGCTGCCTACCAATGGCATGTTGAAAGGGACTATACCCTCGCACGGTTTCTCGATGGTTCCAGGTGTAGATGGCGTGTTGGATCAGCTGTGCGACGTCTTGTTCCGCATCTCCGGCTGTCTTGGTGAGAAATTCCTTCACCCACTCAATACAGCGCTCCACATGAGAAAGGTTCCAGTGTGCTTCGGCTGGGATATGGTCCAGGTGGATGCCTCGTTCACTGAAGAAGTTCAGCATCTCCTCCGATCGGAAAGCTCCCTCTGGATCAGATCTTACCACATCCGGCATGCCAAAATATGGAAACCAGTGGTTTGTGAAGAGTTCAGCGTATTCGGAGGCTTTGACTCCTTTGCCTCCGTCCATCCGCATGACTTTGCCAACCAGGAAGCGACTTGCCTCGTCCATGACCAAACTGAATGAGACCTGCTTCTTGGAGATTGGATGCTTCCAGTATGCAGTGTCGATCTGCACACTGCGCCAGCGGTCAGTGTGAACTTCCAGATTGGCCTGACGTCGAGGATCAGGCCTCTTTCTTTCGTCACACGCGCTGCACCTAAAGGACTTGGCTATGGCAAGCACATGGGGACTAACCTGTCTCCTTTGGAGGGTTTTGAGCAAAAGTTCATAACTGCCGTGCCCAGTGGCACTATGTATTTTGAACAACAGCTTCAAAATGCGATCACGTTCCTCTCGGGACACTTGCTGTTCGAGAGGGGGTGCATCGTCCCCCGCAAAAACAAATTCACTCCATTCCTGCATGCAGACATGACATGTCAGTTCTTTCGGGATTTTGTGAACACGTTTACACCAACACCCTTGCTGTCGTTTAAGAGTGTGTGTTTCCGTTTCGCATTCGCTCGCTCGCAAGACATGAACATCCGAATCGAGAACCGACATATGGTACACCACCCGTCGAACGAACTCCGGAGTGTAAAAAGCGGTCATACGAGTGGCCTGTCCCTCACACAAAGCATGTGTTTTGTTCAAACAAGCACAAGTGTTATGCAAGCGTTCCGAGAGACGACGGTCGGTGCACTCCACTCGCCATTCCTTTCCCAAGGGAACTCCAGTTTTGGGGTCCTTCAAACCGACCTGGCAACCTGAAATGATGGCGGTAGAGGTGTTGCAGTGGTTTCTCCAGTCGTCTAACAAATCCCATTTCCAAGCCCTACATCGTCGACTCCACTCCCAACACACGACCGACCCAGCCGCATGCGCCCAGTGTGCCACCACGAGTGCTCCCACGTGTTGTTTTCGGGCGTCCATTTGTTTTCGTTTCAGGGCCTCTTGCTGTTCAGGAGTCCTTTGGTTACAGTTTTGAATGGGGGAAAAGGCGCCGCACTCGGTCGCAATCCACAAAAACCTAGGCTTCTTCTCACGGATGATCTTAATGGCCTGTTTCACCCCTTCGCCTGTGCGAAGATCGTACCCGTTCCAAACAGAACAACGCTCGGCAGTGAATCCCTTTTTCAAAGCTTCAGAGGTCAGGAGTGAGTCTGGTGAACATGCGAGTTCCATCAGAAACAGCCTTGAGGCGTCGCTTACGGACGCCCAGGCCTCTGAGAGGACCAACTCGCTCGCCTGTTCAAGGGACCTAAGCTTTTGCGGCGACAAGTGTTTCCACTCGTCATGGTGGCCTAGCCATCCATCTTCACGAAGCTCCCGTCGGATGCCACCGATGTTCCAGCTCGGGGAGGCGGCGTCTTGTGGCGCTTCTTGCCCTTGAGCTCGTCGAGCTCCTCTTGCATGGCTTTCATGGTTTCCATCATGTCCTTCACTTGTTCGGTCATCGCCGAGGCACTTGCCTTGGCATCCACATCCTTGCTCGATGACCCCGCAGCAATGGCCACTGTTGGTCGACTGTTGGTGAGGGCTGGATGATAGCCGGCCCCCTGGTTCTTCACTGGTGCCTGAGACTTCTCGAGAGGATTGTGTTCCATCCTCTCGGCCCAACTGGCGAGTTGTCGAAGCCGCCAATCCGCCGTGTCCGAGTTGCCCACCTCGGCCTGAGCCCAGCTGAGTGTTGAGCCACTTCCATGAAGCTCGTGCCCTTGTACTTTCCAAAGTCGATCAGTGTCTCGTTGTTGCCGCTGTGGATCAACCATGACTTGAGCATCAAGCGCAGCTCCCCCACCGTGGCCTTGGCCGGATGTTCGATCTGGCGGGCCTGGCACATTGAGCGTAGCTCGCCCAGTTTTGCATTGTTGATCTCCTTGACAAGGTTGTTGGGAGCCCCCTTTGGCTTGATGATTCCCTGAGCTTCGCGAGACTCGCGAACCAGCATCCGGCATTCCGGAAGTGTGAACTCCGTCCATGCAATGCGCTTCTGACCATTGGCCTCGAGTTCCTGGATGCATTCCGTCTTGCTCAGCAAGTAATGTGGCTTCATGGACTTGTCCGGCCACATGGTCACCTGAGCCGCGGTTGCTTCCTGGGTGGTTGCCATGAGGACAAGCGTCAACGACAACGGGAGTGTGGTCACCGGTTTGGACACGTGAATCAGATGGCTGCGGGGACGTGTGGACATGCGATCTTTCATCCTGGCATTCGACGACCGAGCCTAACCTCACATCATGCTCATGAGTTTCACCAGTATCACCAACCTGTTTGGTTTCTTGGTTCACAGAAGTGGTTTCGGGCAAAATCAGCGTTCCTGTCTCTTTATCCTCACACTCAGACCCAGGGTGATCTGAGCTGAGTCTGCACCCCTATTCGGTGCTTCCTACGAGCTGGCGAAGACTCATCACACGATTGGCGAGAGTCATGCCACTTTCCAAAAAGTCCTGTGTCAATGGGATCAGTTGATGTCCCGTGGTAGAACGCTTGAGCTTCACTAAGGTACGGTCGCTGACCGCCGTGAACACCGCCTCATCGGTGCGAAAATCAATGATGGCGCCCAACTTGCGTAGTGTCGCGACTGACACGAGGATCGGAGCACTTCCCTGATCCAGGGCGTGCACCTTTAAAGACATTTGTTGGGCTTCCGTGGGAACATGTACATAACATGTTGACACACATTGACTACGCTCACTGTTGCCGAAACCAAACGTAGGTCGTTCTGACATGTCCACTCGCAGGACCCCTGGCAGGTTGAGGCGCCGGGCTTTATCCTGCAGCTGTTCGATGGCGTTCACGGAAGCCATCGTCTTTGTGGCGCCACCATCAAGGACACCATACCCTTCTCGCAAGACTTGATCACCCGGAATCAAGTCGGGCGAAGCTTCCTCCAGGTTGGTCCAGCAAAATGCTTCCGGTTTCACGCAGGCACTGTCAGGGAGGACCCCCTACACGTACTCGGAGTGTTCAACGGCCTCATAGTTCTTGCCGTCCTCATTCTTCCTGGGGCAATGAGAGGTATCATGATCTTTTCCACAGCGAGCACACGGTCCTCCGGTTCTGGTTGAGCTCGTGGTGTTGTTTGGCCGTCGGTCCCCCATGCCTCCTTTGCCCTTCCCCTTGGAGTAGCCCTTGCCACGATCTGCGGATGGCGCATAGAAGCGACGTCCCATCCGCACCTCATGCTGCTTGGCCCGAGCTTCGCGAAGGGTCACCCTCGCTTGCTGTAGTTGAGCCCAGGCCTCATGTTCTTCATGTTTAGCCTGTTGGTACAGGGCTAAAGCATCCTCGGGGAGGTCCTCGTAGAAGCTGGTGTCTTCTTCCCATGGCTCCGTCTCATCTTCTTCATTTTCATAGAGAGCCTGTTTGGCTTCTCCATCTCGCTTCTTGATGGTCTCATCAGTGAAGTGGCTCCGAAGGGCGACTTCAACGTTGGCGAGAGAGAAATTGTTCTTGACCTCGCTCTGAATCAGACTGCGCTCCATGCCGTCCAGGTTGGCCTTTTCCAGGAGAAGCCAACCCTTGATGACGTCCGGCAGGATCTCGACGAAATCTTCCTCATCATCTTCATCTTCTTCGGCGATGCTGGTATTGGACTGGAGGTTCCAGTTCCATGTGGTCTCCCACGTCGACCACCACCAAGCATCATCCCAGGTCCATTCGGTCTCATCCTGGGCTTCCTCACCATTGTCTTCAGTGGGCGTCGCCTCGGTGTCACCCTCGGTGGCAAGGTCCGATGAGCCCCCCCCCTGTGGATGGCCTTGCCGTAGACACCGACTGTCTTCGTCCTGAGTGCCAGGCCTGGCTGGTCATGTCAGGAAGTGACTTTTGTTCTCGCATCACGCGAGTCAGGGCTTTGCAGGTCCGTGCGTACTCTTCCCGGTGTCTCACACAAAACGACACCATGGATTCGCCGCGGCGGCGCCGCAGCAGCTTGAAGTAGGTCTTGGGCTGGTTGGAGATCTCCGGAAGGGCTGGCTCGCTCATCGTCTCTTTCAAGCAGCGCAGAAGCTTGCCAACGCCATCCTGGGACGAAAGCCAGCCTCGCTTCTTGTTTGCTATTGCGGTGCGTGCCGCTCCAGTCAGCTCGGCTGCCAGCCTTGGACCACATAGGTAGCGACTTTCCCACTTCACCGTCTCCTCGTACATGTAGGCAGCCCTGCGGTACTCCGACCAAGTGGACGGAGTACCATCCCATGCAGGGGTGCCATCTTTGGACTTCGTGACTGTCATTGGGCTCCTTCTCACTCACAACAGGTGCGCTTCAACGCACCCACACACACACCCTCAGGGCCCGATGCAGGCCCCCCTGGATCGCCGGCCTCGAGGAACTCAGCGCCTCGCCGCCCCACACCGCGCGTAACCGCAATGCAGAGCTACGCTACCGTGCAGGACGCACGGCGGACACACCCTTTTCCACTGAACTAAGGGGGAGGCTTGTGCCATAGGTACCAATCGGAGAGTACTAGGGACACACAATCTATACAACTTGCATATATATATGTCATATATATATATATATGTGTGTGTACAAAGATCAAAGCACGATGCGTCTCCTTTTATGGAGAAATGCAAACCAGTTTGATCCAGTTGATGTCTTTTGTTTGTATCATCTCATATCATCTCATGTCTCAAGACTCCCCGTCCTATCTTTGCGGCTCAGCTCACACCATGTCTTCCCGATACCCCGTGGGCCCTCGAAAGAGAATGAAAGGTGAAGATTCCTCAAGCACCTGCAGCTCCTCGGCCCATTCAACCTGCGCGCGGCACTTAGGCGATGTTTCCCTTGCCTGGTCACAACAAGGAGGTCAACCACAGATAAAGAATGTTTGTAAAGCAGTCCGGAGAGTGCTGCATTTCCTTCAGTGGACGATTGGATGGATATGTCATGATATTGGACGATGGCAAGTTGCAGCTGGATACAAGATCGACCTTTTCCGAACAAACAACTGTTGGGTGTTGTTGATTTTTGGATGTGTTTGTTGACTCAAGGGGGCTAAACTAGAAAGAAAGCTGGATCACATGACTGTAATTATCGTTGGCAATAAGCAGCGTTAATACAAAGCGGTTTTGCAACCGACTGTCGCACCCGTCCTTATTCCTTTTATATATATATATATACGTTTAGTCTTTGTCTTACTTTGTCATACTTTAATTCATTACATGTTGTATTGTGTTTTACTCGGGCTCTTTTGAGGCCACCCTCTGGCGCTCGTGCCACACGCTTGGAAGGGAAATCGACAAAGATGTATGTTCAAATAGATCCATTGCAATTGAGTGGAAGCGCTGGTGGCGATGTCAAGAGAAGCTAATGATGAATGTGAGCACACGTACCTTGGCTTTGATGACAGTTACATGGTGCTCCAATTCACTGAATCCTGAGGTCCAAAAGCGTGATGGATTGGGATATGTTCTCAGCACCCGTGAACGAGTCACTCTGCCATGCTTGCTACAGTGCAAGTACAAGACCAGGAAGACAACAGAATACAGCAAAATCAAGAGCTGAGGATTTGTTGCAAAATGTCAGTACTGAATTCTACCAAAAGATGCTTGCCAGCCTCGGATCAATGCTGGCTCCCGCTTTCCTCATTGCGCAGCGCAACCACCGCTGGGTGCCAGCATGAGAATTGATAGTTGGTGAGTCTTTCCAGCGCGTGGGTTATGTTGCTTTGTTTGCCGATAGTGTGCATGTGACTATCACGTCCGCAGTACTAGAGAGCAGAATTGAGCTCATGGGCAGAGTTTGCAATTGTTCGCCTTTGGTTTAGCACTCTTGTTATTCAACTTCTACCCAGGACCCTGAACTAATTTTGTGGAACCCCCGAAATATGGAGTTGGAGCGTAACGCATCATACCACCAAGAACAGTTCAAAAGCTCTAAGTCTCTAAGTCTTAAACAGGATGTATCATACAGCCAGGCTACTGGTAGTAAAGACATGCAAAGACGTTGCTTGCCTTGCTCTCGCCTTGCTTGCCTTTGACATTCCCTGAAGCTTCCTACTGCCTTTGAGGTTTCGCATTGACAATAATTGAGGACCAGGATTCACACCTACATTTGAGATACATATAGATATATATAATACGTTGGAGACTTCTACATTTAGGGTACGGACAGTCTTAGCATCAGCTCTGTATTTGTGTGTGTGTGCGTTGTGAGGTGTGTGTGTGTGTCACCCTCTTTTTCTAGGAGTTCCAACTTGATACTGTCCAGCAGGGGCGTGCAGCATCTGTGGTCCACTGCACGCAACGAAGCTACGACCACAGATGGGAAGGGATCAAGGACGCTTGATCCTGTACCTGCGACCAACACATTGACACCAATCGTCCACCCTGCTGCTGTCTTTTTTGTTTCCATGGTGATTGATCACGATACCTTTTCCTCAAACAGGTTTTCCTTCAGCAGCTTTCAGCAGCTTTTCATCGCCGAGTGACTTCGCAGTCAAGTGAAACCGCCACTGTTCAAACATTCTGTTCCCGCGGACTCGGCCACCTTGCCGTTGCACCACTCCTTTCCTTGGGGACTATGACTAACTGCAAACCCAATGACTAAGTGTGTGTCGTTCTTCAGTGCCACGGCAAGAAGTCCAAAGGTGCCACGATGGGGCATGGGCTTGCTCCGAGTCCGCGCAAGTACGAGGAGCCTGAGAAAACCTTGCCTTTCCCCGTTGCACTCTGAATCCAATGGCTCGCGTAACTCGTAGTTACATGATCTCAGATACAGGTGATAGTTGTTCATTTGCTGTCACGCATATGCTTTGATTTGTTTTAAAACGATCACAAGTCGTAGAATTCCTTTTGATATTTGTTGTTCGAATATGTTCACAAATCTTTTGTTCCCTTGCGCTTTCAAGGACTATTACTTTCCAAGCGCTACAGCGTCACTCGTTGAGGAAGTGTTGGCTTCTTGGCTCGTTGAGGTTTCCATAGTTTCCACGACATGATACGTGCGGATACGGATTTATACGCAGACGCAGCTGTCATGGCGGAACCCGGCTCAGTCGCTTAGCCTTTTCGGGTTGTGGTGCTATGAGCCTTGTGGGTGGGAAGGAAAGGACATGTGTAACCTACGCATAAATCACCTTGCTCATCTTGATGACTGTTTCACCTGAAAGTAATTTGACACATAGTTAGTTGTAAATCAGGAGAAACAAGCTGACTTTGGGGGAGTAGGAGAACTAGTAAACTAGTGGAGTCAGAGGAAAGAGAGGTGTGGTTTCAAACCTTAGGAGGGCGATCCCATGGGAACCAGTGGGAAAGATCGCCAAGAAGTCTAGCAGATCTAGCAGCCGCAGGGCCATCCGTCAACAAAGCAAGACAATCACAACAGATTGGAACCCAACCCAGATTGCCATTATACCTGTCGTTTTTGATCTTGACAAGATCAAAAGCGACAGGAGAAGAGAGAACGTTCAGAGGCAGCACGTTTTTTCCTGAGAGTTGATAGTTCAATTTCATCCTGAGGAAAACCAGACTGCCTCCCCATTGAACAATCACGGCCAGATTGTCAGCAAGTGCACACCTTGGAATATGATGCATTTGCAGCAATGTGTTTTCAATGCGGAGCTACATACATGTAAAGAAGACAGTGAAGACAATGTGTTCCAAGGAACCCCCAGCTGAAGACTCGTCTTTTTGGTCGGCAATAGAAAAGCCAGACCAAATTGCAGCTCGTCTCACCATTTCTCTGGTCGCCTAAAGCTGCGCTGACAGAGAACATGTCATGGCGGAAGAAAGCTGATCAGACACATTTCACAGATATCGAGCTCCTGGGTCTGGAGAATGCATTGTATAGGACTGTGCAATATCTGCGCTTGGTGCATCCATAGATATGTGCAGCCCTTGGCCATTTCATTTGCGGTTTGCAGATTTTGCAGAGTGCCTATAGAAGGCTTAGCAGCTAGCAGCTAGCAAGCTGACAACCACACGGCGACAACTTCAGTTTTAGTTTTACCTGTCATTGCTAGCTGTCAGGGTGTCATTGAAAAGGCTCTCACTGCTTTACCGCCTATCGTTGAGTATCACTCAGAATTGTCCAAGATCTAGATACTGGGCAGGTCACCGTCATTCCACACTGCTTTCCAGTTGTACGCACCCGAAGGTGCTTTCGCCGAACCGATCAGTAGTTCATAGCGAAGTTTCTGTGGATGGATGTTTCTGGAGTTTCTGTTTATTTGTCAAACAGGTTGATGCAGGTTTTCTTGGCGAATTGCCCACGAAGTAGATGAGGAAGATGTCACAACTTGTGACGTGGATTGTTGACTTTTGGATGGTTGATGGGAAATAGAAAAATGCTTGCAGTGTTCATCCAGAATTGGTGGAGGTGTCATAGCTGGTTACGTTAGGGAATCTGGACACGAGCAAAGACCGAAATTGGATGACATGAGAATTAAGATGTAACCACGGCTTTCATTGGAGAGTTCTGTTGGGGATCATAAACGAAAAAATAAGAAATGAAACGGCAATGGGATGTGATGAACATCCTGGCCTCTTTACAGCATGTTACAGCGGTTATGGTACGGTTCGGAGCTGATCCAGCTGATCCTCTTGGTGTGTACAGTGTAGGGTCTCCAAATACATCCAAATACCAAAATCGTGTGAGCCCGTTGTTCAAGAGTGTTTGCATCGTAGGAGGAACCGAGAGGGTGTGTGTCCTGTGGGGTAATTGGGAAACAAGTAGAAAGTCTTAGGGATCATCCTTAAGGTCCTTATGGATGGCCCAAGGGAGAAGCTGGGCAGCATGTCCATCTTATTGATGCAGTTACACTATGGATTGCAAGCTTCCTAGCCCGTGGTTGCCGGGTTCGGTGGTAAAACTTCGTGTGGTCGTGGTAATTTTAGTGGTTCTTTGTTGACTCAAAGGGGCTGCAAGATTTCATGAGATGTCAAGACGAAACGGGCACCCTGTCAATTCAGCTTTTTCACCGCTGATTGCACTTGAAATTTTGTTCCACATAGAATGAGTATAGTAATATTATGTAATGTTGAGGTTTGATACTGCAGAGTGGATGTGCGAGTCTGCTGGATGGAAACTTGATGCAGATTTCATACAAGCTGATAGCTGATTTCAGAACAGGCGTGCCTGGAAAAAGGCACCCCGTCCCAAAACCCTTCAAGCAAATAACATGCAAATGTTCAAAAAATGCTTTGAAGCCCATGTGTTTTTTGATATATTTTTGCCCAATATCACAAATTGCCTTGTCATTGGTTTTTTCTCACTGGCTGTTTGGATTGTT